TTGGTGGGCCGTGGTGGGACCTCCACCAGCCCCCGGCGGAGGAGGTTTCTCCTTGCCCGGCCCTCGCTGCGCCGTGGCCCCGACCCTCCTCGGGGTTACTGTGGTAGGAGCCGAGGTCTGCGCGGGAGCGGAGCTGGCCCCGACGCTCTGGAGTCCCAGGAGCTCGCGTGCTCCGTGGTCTCCTCGCGGCGTGGTGGCCGGGGCCGGCCGCCTCCAGCTGTCCTCAGCTATGGCCGCTCTCTGGAGGGAGCCCAGGAGCACGTGTCAGCCAGCGCGTGAGGTCTTGCCCCTCTCACCCCAGCGAGAAGAGCGTCCAGGAGCGAGGGTTCAGCTCAGCAACCTGGCGCTCGCCCTCGGGAGGAGCTGGACCAGTAGGACAGCCACAGCGATGTTCTACTGCCCTACCCGTGCCCTCCTTCAGGGTGCGCCCAGCCACAGCGATGTTCTACTGCCCTACCCGTGCCCTCGCCTTCAGGGTCTCCCTCACCCTCGTCCTCAAGGTCTCTCTCGCCTTCAGGGTCTCCCTCACCCTCGGGGTCTCCCTCACCCTCGCCTTCAAGATCTTTGGATCGAGGTGTTCTGTGGAGCCACCATGCGCGATGTGGGGTGGACCCACCTTCACGACTTGATTCTGGTGACGGGCAAAGGGACCGAGTGGGGTTTTTCGGGACCAGCCTTTTCCGTAGCACCCGCCTGACCCTCCCCAGGAGGCCGGGCAGCAGCGTGGGAGGATCTGCCCGCCTTCAGCAGGCACGGAGGTGATTTGGGGCTCTAGGACAACCCGGACCCATCGCTGCCGATGGTGATGCTGGTTGCATAAGCACAGGCTCCAGCGCCGACGGTGCTTGAGCCGTGGGAGCTGTAGCCTAGATTTACTCGTTAGCTGCGTTCGTTAGCGGCAGCGTAGAAGAGGAAACCGAATCTTTTGCCGTTTGTCATTAAAAAAACCGAGGCCGGTCACTCACTGAAGCGCTGGTGGTGCGAGGACTGACCCAGGCTGAACTCGGATCTCCGGCGTGCCGACCGGCCGCAGCATCCCTGAAACGCAGCCCGGCAAATCCATCAGCCTTCTGGCTGCGGAGGCCAGCGGCCGGATCCTTTGGGAAAGCCTCCGACGACTAATTTGTAAATGACCTGAACTGCTGAACTCTTCCTGGTGGCCAAGCAGCCGTCCCTTCCGTCCCCACCGGGGTGGAAATTATTTAATCTTGTTTCTGGGCTCGTCGATACGAGCTTCTGCCCTAATTCCTGCCCCAACTCCCGCCCCGGGATAACGCCTGGATTTGACGGACCACGGGCAGGGAGCGGCGTGCTCCGTGCCGAGCATTGAGCGGGTGGAGGTGCCCCCGGATCCGACCATTTTTGCCAGCTCCTGGTTTAATTCTTATCGAGCGTGGGCTTAATTTTTTCCCCCTCGGAGCAGGGTTTACGTGCTCCGCTGTGTCCGGCCACGTGCTCAAGCGTGTCGAACCCTTCCCAAGCGGTGCCGAAACTAAACCAAAGCCCTTCTGCCGCC